TTACAAAATATTGAGTATAGTTTCCTGTGCTCATGCAAAGCCTTCTAACACATTTTTAGCTAGGTATTTATTGAAGTCTTCTTATAGAAATGTTCTGAAACATTTCTTCACAGTGAAAACAAAATTTTAAATTTAAAAGCCACACTTAGACTTGAAGCACTATGTCTAAATTCCATAAAAGTTTGTTATATCCCAACAAGCATGTAGGGTAGATGTTGAACCTCTCCCCCTATATTAGTTTTGAAGGGAAAATATCCTATTTGTACGCAATTACGAGGCTATGCGAAAATTACTTATTTTCAGAGGCTGACTCGAATAGAAAGTTTGGGCAGATATATTATTTTGAAGATACATGTAAAAAAGTATATAATAACTTATGGAGCACTGTGACTAAACTTGAAGGCAACACTTTTAAAGCCATTACTTAATACTCTTCCCATATAAGATGATAAGTGTCACTAGTCCCAGGTCATAGTACTTTCTTTATTAGAAGTAACTGTCTTAATAAAATAGTAATGATGGTAACAATAGTTCCTATTTATTGAGCAGTTACTAGGTGGCGGGCACAGTGCTAAATGCTTCACCGAGATTGCCTACTTTAATACTGGTGACCCCAGTGAGGTACGCACTATTATTAGGGCCACTTTACAGATATTGAAAAAGAAACAGAGCAAAACATCGCCCCCTGCCTCCTGGGGTTCTATACTCAAAGGATCGCTGCTCGAGAGAGAATTTTAAGCCTTGCTGTAGCCTTAGATGAAGCCCAAACTCTAAAGCTTAGCCTGAATTGTCTTTAAAGATCTGGACCCTGACTACCTACCTCTTTAGCCTCATCACCTCACTACCATCCCCCGCTTCACCCTTTATGCTGGTTCTAGTGAAAGGCTTCATACAGTCCTGTCCCTGCTGTGACACACACCCGTTCCTCAGCATCCTTAGAGACAAGACTATTCATTCTTCTTTAAAACTCAGCTCAACTTGGAAATGCCTCTGCTGATAACCTGTTAGATTTAGTTGCCTGCCCTCTATGCAGGTTCTTGCTACAGAACATACCGCACTGCCATATATCCATTGAATTATTTGTCTGTTTTTCTTACTGGACTTTAAGTGCCATGACATTAAGTATATTATTTTTTTCTTCTTTATTTTATTGGAGTATAGTTGATTTACAATGTTGTGTTAGTTTCAGGTGTACAGAAAAGTGATTCAGTTAAATATATGTTAAATAAATATTATATTAAATATTAAATATATATATTCAGTTAAATATATATATTTAATCTTTTTCAGATTCTTTTCCCTTATAGATTATTATAAGATATTGAGTAGAGTTCCCTGTGCTATAAGTAGGTCCTTGTTGCTTATCTATTTTGTATATAGGAGTGTGTCTATGTTAATCCCAAACTCCTAATTTAAGTATATAATTTGCTTTGGTATCTCCAGTGCCTAACACAGGACCAAGCATGCAGTGGGCACTCAAAAAATATTTTTTGAATAAATGGCCAAATCTTAAGCTACCACCCTATTTGTTCTTTCTATCTTCCTGCTGGAAAGAATTTGCTAAATAACCATTCTCTATTATATCATAATGCTCAAAATTATGAGAAGGACTTCTACACAAGGAGTTAGGGAATCTAGATTCTTGTCCCATGATTGTCATTTAGTAATGAAAAGACCTTGAAGACTGATTCATTCAACAATTTTCTTTTTACGCATTTGCCATGCACCAGGAACTGTATACCACAGTGAGGAAGCAGTAGTGGACACAAGTGACACAAAAGCCCCTTCCACCAGAAAGCTTGTATAACCTAGAGTTGGATTTCTCACCATAAAATCAAAGAGCTGGCCTAAGGTCCTTCCAGGCTTAAAATTCCATGAAACAATAAGCCAAATGTCAAATTCCTTAAAATATAATATAGGAACACATAAGAATATGAAATAAAATAGAACACCAGGCAAATCAGTTCATAACTTGCCTCTGATACAATTAATCTAGGAGTATTAATTCTTCCTTACAAAAATAGATATATTATAGAGAAGTGACATTATGAAACATTTTTTAAAGGTTAACTTTGGTTTGGTCTCATGCAAAATATTTGAACCCCCTCTAGTTGTAAGTACAATAGCATGCCTGTCAAGGGCAAAAAGGGAAAAAAATCATTTCAAGGAAATTAACAACGATGAGAAAGGAAGATCTATTTTATTCCTTGGGAAGATGAATCTGTTCTGTACATCTAATGTTAGTCAGAGCATAAAGAACAATATGTTCTCTAATCAAGTTTTATGTGTGTGATGAATTTTTTGATTCATGGTAATTGGACCAGAAAAGGTAAAGCATATTATTAGTGGACAAATTACATAGTAAAAACTAAATTAGTCCAGACTCTCAGCTGCTTCATTACAAAATTAGGTAGGGAAGGTCATAATTATTTAATTTGTGTCCAAATCTCAGCTGGAGAATGTTCCAAATGAACAAATGATCCAAGTAATTTTAGGGGAAGGGAAAGTCCTTGTAGCCAAGCTTAAAAACCCAATATTGACAAACATAATTAGCATGCTACTTTCCTGACCATATCCCTAGAGGTGTTTGGACAGGAAATCTAATCCTCTAAAGATAAATGTTCTGTTATTTTTTATCATAACGGAGTAAACCATATCAATTCCTTGACATGCTATGATCATAGGATGTCCTTCCTGACACGTCCCTCAAATTTGTTGACATTGGATGATTGATTGCTTCTGTTGGTTAACATGGGCACTGAGCTATGATAGAAAATAGATACACAATATTAAACTCACAAAACTGGGTTTGTTCTTCTATTAAAGTCATAAATCATGGATTCTGAAATAGCCTTTCAAGTTACATAGTGAGTTTTCTCATGTTGCAGATGAGGAAACTGAGGCCCAGACAGGTGAACAAAATTACTGCAAATCTCACAGTTGGCAGGTGTTGGAGCCATGATGCAAGGAGAGATCCATCGCCCCCCAGCCCAATGTTCTTCCCATCATTTTATTTTGCCAATAGTTAGCTCTCTTTGTGAGCTAACTTCCAGCTTACAAGCTCCCATACATGACATTGGCTTATATCACCAGGACAAAGAGTAGGCGTGGTAGGGGGCAATGCAGATGAAGTTCAGGGGGTTGGCTTCTTTTTTCTTGGAAAACAAATACCTCTGCCTATTTGTGGGAAGAAAAACATCAGCTAGTTTGCAGCAGGACTGGTATGTTGGAAATGAAACACAAAGCTTTCCTCCTCTAACTAAATTTGACAGCGTGCATAAGCTGAATCTCCCCATCTGGAGACTCGCAGACTAGACAAGCCTTACAAATTAATATGTGTGTATAGGTCTGGGGCCTGAAGGAAATGAGGTCAGGTCCGAAAAGGAATCAGGTGGCTGATGGCCACAAATCAGAACTTTAACATGGATTCACAACAAAGGGAGGAGACTTCATGCTGTAATGCACTGAAAAGCATTAGGACCATGCTAGGGTCTGTGATGAGGAAGCCAGAGGACAAAGTTATAAAGAGGGAAACGATACTGAAGGACAGAAAATGTTTTCATCCAAGTACAATCCAGACTTTGATCCTCCTTTTAATCAAATCTTCTCTTTCCCTATCTCCTTCTCTCTCTCTCTCTCTCTCTCACACACACACACACACACACACACACACACACACACACACCTCATGTTCTCTTTATGCAGGATATTTGTGCTCTCATTCTACAGTCTTATTTCTCTCTTTACTTTGTTCCTGAGAATGGTGGTCTACAGCAATGCATAGAAAAAGTGCTTTGATAAGGAAGATAAAACAATTCAGGATGCATTAGTTTCTTTGTGTACCTCAAGGACAAAATTGAGATGTGTAGGAGCATTTTTAAGAATGTAGACAGGAGACTCACTCCCTTGAACCCACTTTCTTAAGGTCCCCAGCTCATTCTCCAAAGATGTCCTTTAAGGCTTTGTACATGCCCTATGGTGAGAGAGTGGCATTTAGTAAGAGTCCACCCAGGGATGTTCCAAATGCACTCTGCCATTAAAGTGCTGATATAGGAAGTTAGAGCATTTTTTCTCTTGTGAATCTCTATGGCTTTATCCCTGGGCAAAGGTCTGAGCTTCTTTCAAAAGTCCAAGATTGATTTTCGGAGGAGAAGATAAGTGAAGGATTTTCTAGCTAACCAGGAAACATATTCTCTGATTAAATGTCAGATTAAGAAGAAAAAATACCCTACATAAGGTACTATGACAATTCTCTAAAAAGAAAGACTGTGAGAACGCAGATATTTTAGGATAGAGGGTTATAGCCTTCAGAATTTTCATTTTTTTAGAAAGTTCTTGTGGTTGATATAAGTTTAAAAATGTGTTCATGTGCAGAACATTTCAGATTCATTTATGCAGAATTATGTAACACTTGAAACAACTCCCTTAAATTCCCATGGATTATGCGGACACAAAACTTTACAAATTATATTTGTAAATATCCTTTCTTCTGTATCATCACAAGTTCTCAAAGTATACTAAATGTGGAAGTCAGTATGATAGTGCTGTCTCTCTTTTTTTAGGAGAAAATGTAGCGATATCCTTTTTATTATTCACTTGCCACCTCAAATACAAGTGATCATTTTCTTATGATTTAAAAATATTGTAATGACTGGCCAGTTCCCCATGATTTATTGTTACTAGCCCTCCATTGGATATGCTAAGATAAGATCACACATTACTTATCTAAACACTTCTACAGATGCGCTGGGCATTTTTAAAAGTTCACCCATTGAGAACTTAACCCAATTCTCTTTGAAAAAAATGCAAGGTTGTTCCAGAAAACTTTCTTAAAAGAAATCACTTGTACCATGGACCCTCTTCACACACCCTCAAAAACGATGAGACAAATCAACAGTCAGAAGACATACATTTATAGCCTCATCTTTCACCTCCTCCAAATTCTAGACAATCCTCTTTTTCACTTAAAAATGGAAAATGCGACAAATGTAAGCCCTTACCAACTTCCCACTTCAGAAGGCTGTTGTCTTCCATCTCCATTTTTCCAATGACATACCAGATACATGCCATCCAGTGTGCAAGAAGGGCAAACATGGACATGAGCAGAGTCAGGACGATTGTGCTGTGTTGGGAATAACGGTCCAACTTCTGCAGGAGACGCAGAAGACGCAGCAGCCGGACGGTCTTCAGGAGATGCACGAGAGACACCTGCGTGGGAAAACAGAGCCGCACAGCTTGGCTCACGGAGTCATTACATCCACAACAGTCACTTCATCTACAGCCACTCTGGGAAGTTCTTGAAATTAAGCGTAATCGGGATTCCAACACTGTGACCATTTTATGACCATTTCTATGTCGTTTCCTGATATATTATATCGGAAATTGATAAGATAAAAGATGATAAGGCAATTTAATTTCTTTGAGTGAATAATTATCTTCCTTAATTAAGATGTATCTTTTTTTCTCTACCTATATGACTGAAGATAATTTTATATATTCTGATATACAACTGAAACACATTATGGGATCGGAATTGAATAGAAGATGTCTCCACCCCTTTCTTTTAATTTCTTTCAATTCCACTTCCCCTTCTCCATGTAAGGGAGCTGCGTTATAACAAAACTTTGTATAGACTGAAGTAAAACCCTGTAAAGTGGTAGCAAAAGTAACTTAGGTTTCTTATTTTTAAATAGTGAGACCTAGAAACTTGAGTAAGATCTGCTCACAAATACCAGTAGCACCTCCTGCTTCATGTGCTTTGCTATCGTCCTTCTAACATTATCAATAGACAAAGAAAACATTTGCCTGGAGCACATACATTCTGTGCTTTCTGTTAAACAAACATGCTTAGGGAACCAAAATCAAATGGAACAAAATTTTGGAAAAACCTTTTAGATGCTGCCTCTGTATGAACTAGAACAACAGACTTGTAGTGAAGGAGTTAGTTTCTTGACTTTAGGGCTCAACTGAAAAATGTGAACCATTGGTGTCCACCAGAAAAGTCAATGTCACTATTACAACACATGCGGTGCACTAATATACACTCTTTTTAATACCTTCCAAGAGAAAAGAAAAGTTAAATAAAACATTAACTCATATGCAAATAGAATCTGACAAGTTCCTTGACCTATTCTAATTTGGGGGGTGAACCATAAATAGAGGGTAAGGAAGTGGTTTGTATGACTATACCTAAGCATCATTTTTCCTTTACAGGCAGAATCATAAACAAGGTCAGCATCTTTTGAGAGTCTGCCTTTATAATTATCTGGAGTCAACTGACTTCTAATTTCTCCCTCCTCCAGCCATCTTCCCTTATCTCCAAGAAAAATGTACCTAGAGCAGTGCCTGACACATAGGAAGTGCTCAGTAAATTTGTGTTAAATGAGTGAACGAATAAGCTATTATGTGAAAATGCAAAACACTCCAGGCTCACTATAACAATAGATATTCAATAAAAGTGTCTTCCACTGTAATCTTGTGAATTATTCTATGCTGAAATATAAAAACATCATGAGGATGGGAATTCCCTGGCGGTCCAGTGGTTAGGACTCCACGCTTCCACGGCAGCGGGCCTGGGTTCGATCCCTGGTCAGGCAACTAAGATCCTGCAAGGTGTGGTGTGGCAAAAAAAAAAAAAAAAAAAAAATCATAAGGTCAGTTGAGGAAGTTGCCAGGTAGCTGTGGTCTTTTATTCCTTTTTGTGGGTCTTCTGGGTAGAGGTTTACTTTCTTCTCCTTCATACTCACGTTCTCATCTATCATTTCTCCAGCTGATTGTAAGTCAGATGCAGTTTCTACTTTGTGGCTTAGAGGAATTACTAGGGTGAAATTTATTTTATAGGTAGGTGAATTTGATAGATAACAATTTTGTAAGTAAAGTGAATCCTGGAGCAGAATTCTCAAATGGAGGATACCATCTGCTATGGACTGAATTGTGTTCCTGCAAATTTCATATGTTGAAGCCCTAACCCCCAGTGTGACGGTATTTGAGATGGGGTCTTTGGGAAGTAATTTGGTTTAGATGGGGTCATGAGGGTGGGGTCCTCAAGATGGGATTAATGCCTCTATAAGAATAGACCACAGCACCCTCTCTCTTGTTCGCCACCCACCCCAATCTCTCGCTCCCTCCCCTCGCTGTATGAGGGCCACGTGAGGACGTGGAAAGAAGACAGCTGTCTACAAGCCAGGAAGAGAGCCCTCACCAAGAATCAAACTGGCTGAAAGCTTGATCTTGGACTTCCCAGCCATCAGGAGAGTGAGAAATAAATTCCCGTTGTTGAAGCCATCCAGTTTATGATATTTTCTTATAGCTGCCTGAGTAGACTAACACACCATCCGAATATAGAGTACTGATGCAGGCAAGCTCCCCATTTTCTCTGGCCAGAAAGGGGATGTTTGAGGGAAGAATGTGAGGCTGCCCTTACATGAGAACAATAGTCATTTACAAAAATAAGGGACATGAGCCTGGGAGTCCAGGATGAGGCAGCCCTGGTGATTTCGCTGTCACTTAAAAAAATTTGTATTTATTCCTATCTGAGTCCAAAACCTCTGGCTATAAAATGTGAATTTTGGCTCTTGATGAATGATAGAAGAAAGAGGCATATTTGATTTTGATGGAAATATATCATCTGAAAAAGAGAAAGGAACTTCTTACTCTTGGGATGCTGCTCTGAATTTGTCATTGATAAGAATTATAAGCACCCTGTAGACAGGTGCAAGACAGTGAATGATGCATTCATCAAAAACCTCTATCAAACTGCAGTTTCCCCTATTACCAAGTGGACATAACCACCTCCTGGCTATCCACTAGGGAAGAAAAAGGAGAAAGAAAAAAGTTAATTACCGTACTGAGGTCCTTCTAGGTATTAGACACTTGGCAAGGTATTTTATAGAAAAGGTTCCTTTTTAGGCTACTCAGAAACCCTGCAGGAATTTTTACGATTTTAGGCCTATTCTGATGTTAACTTTCCCAAGAAGCCACTCAGATGGTAAGTGATAAAACTTGGATTCACATTTTTGCCTTTTTACTCTCATTCTTTGTCTCATTCACAATTTTACTTTCTTTGTCTCATTCACAATCTTACCTCTCGTCGTGCCTTTCATCGTGACTTATACACAGTAAGTTTTAATAAGTAAATGTGTGAGCTGCATGTAAAACATTTGCCATCAGCAATTGTGCGCACAGCCAAAGCTGAAGCATGCAGTACATTTTTGATGGTTGCCATGCATTTTAGAATGTCATCTATGGAGATGCACTAACTGGACCCACTTTAGACCTGGAAAATCAGCCCCTTTGTTATTTTATTTGTTTGTTCCTGCTCTTCTTTTTGTAATCTGTGTAGTATAACAGTAGCATAACTTATGAACTTTTCCTTATAACTTATGCTTTCCTGGGAAGTAAATGTAATATTTTGAACAAGCTTTTCTATTCAAATCGAATATTTCATACTGACTAATATATTGGGAGGAATAACAAATCTATATGCCAATTGTTAAATGATCATAAGCTCACCCTTGTGAAAAGCAGAAAGATTATCACTGATAATAGAGAGAGATTCCTTACTTCCTTCCTCTTTTTCTTTCTTTCTGATATAGATGTTGATCTATAACTTCAAATCTTTATAAAGGATTTGTGTTGTATTTCACAAGTGAGAACGAAGAAGGGTAGCAGAAGCACAGTGAAAATGTACAAGTATTTAAAATTCATCAAATTATGAGAATTAGACTTTTTCAAAATTATTTACTTGTGTTAATTTTAGGCAATGGAAATTTTAATCATATCTAAACATTTTACTTATTTTTTATTTTATAGACTTTATAGTACATGATATGTATATGTTTAAAATTATCCTATTTGTTCAGTGCCCAAAGAGAAATGGAATATAAAAAATGATTATTAGTATTTAGTAGCAGAGCAAGTTAATTTACAGCAGTCTATGAAACACCATTTATTTAACAATTCTCCAGGATAATTTGGAAAATTTTTCTTATCATTTTATGAATTATCTACTTCTTCAGGATATTTTTTAGCAGTCTTGCAAAAGCCTTGTTTTAAGTCATTACACTTTCATTATAGTATACTTATCTAGTCAAATTCAATCTTAAAAAGCACTTTAAAAAGCTTGGATAACAATCCACTTTAGCACTGATTGATATTATATACTAGATTTTCCCCAGAGCTTTCCCTTCAGCTGAGTTATAAACCTCTTAACAATGTTGACACTCTCAACTTCCCAACTTAAAAAAAATTGAAAGAAAAAGAAAAATACTATTATGCAGGCAATTAACAAATGCAACAAATGCACAAATCTGTACTATGTAGTCAGGAGTTTAGTTCAGTCTTCGTTCTGAAGTCAGTAATGATTGTATTTGAAACATTGATCACTTTGTTTAATATTGAAAACTATGCTATTAAATTCTTGATAGAGAATATAATTTCTATGGGAAGAGGTTTGTCAACTGAGTAGGAAATATGTTTAATTTGAACTAACGTCTAGTAAATTTTTGCCTGCTAAAATTGGTTACTCTGGCAGCAAATTGTATTACTGGTCCAAAAATTCTCTTATACCTTCCTAAAAGGGAATACTTAATGCTTTTAAGAGTGTCAATCATTAAACAGTAAAAATAGCTATGACTACAAGAGGGCATACTTTCTTTCCTGTAAGAAATCTGAGAATAAAAGCTTTAGATGAAGAAAGAGGAGAAGTTACAAATACCAATAAAAATTCAAGAGGATGCTTGGTTTACGTTGGTCATTTTATCATTTAGATTTTTGCTCAATCCAACATTTTTACAGGGACTTCTAAGAAGTAGTTGAATTCTATTTTAATTTCAACCTATCTATCTTGATAGGTCTTCTGTTTGTTTTGCCAATGAATAATGAAATATTCAAAAGGTAGCGAGTAAAAGTCATAAAAGTAGAAGAAATCTTCAAACTCTCCACCAAATTCTTGAGGGAAGTATCTGGCTCAGTAACATAAGTAATGCTTCTATTCCTGCAGATGGTTTCCTTATCAAAGGATTTGTTTAGTGAGTCAATTTGATGATAAATTCAAGCTTTTAATATCCTGGTTCTAGGTATTTAAATGATTAGAAATGGGTAATACAAATTTCAAAAAGGAAGTAACTCCTTTAATTGGAGAATCTGGCCTGCATATCATTGGTGACATTGGCCTCTTTATTAAAAAGGGCACAAAATCCTGGACATACAAATTGCGACAAACATTTAAAACCTGAACGTGTGAAAAATAAGCACAGGGGTAAAACCAACCTTCAAAGTCATGTGGAAGGGAGCTATTTACTCACCACTGTGACGTTGAAAGCATACAGGAGGTCAAAAGGCAGGGCAGCAATTAAATCAATGATGAACCAGGTTGTGACATAGTGGATGCAAATTGATCTTGCTTCAAAGATAACTTGGCCAGACTTGCTGACATAGGTTGTTCGAAAATTTAAAATAATATCTGCTTGAGAAAAAAAGGATAGAGTAAGAGCATTTAGGAGAAAGAGAGAGAGAAGGAAAGAAGGAAAGACAAGGTAAGAAGAGAAGATGGAAGGAAGACAGGCAGGTGGGCGGGGGGGAAGGAAGCGAGGAAGAAAACTATATTAAATTAGACTAACGGTAACCTCTTAACGTACTTTAGATTGACAATACCCAAAATACTCTTCTTGACAGATCCAGCTCAACTCAACAAACAGGTATTGGAGAAAGGTGAAGAAAGTAGTATTTTTTGAGCAGTAATACATTCCAGACTTTGGGCCACATGTTAACATAATTAAAATAAATAATAATAACAACAATAGGCAACACTTACTGAATGCTCACTGTGTACCAGACATTGTCCTAAGAACTTAGCTTAGATTGTTTCACTTACTCAGAATGTCTTCTACCGTAGACGACGATGGTAACATAGCAGACAGTACATAGTAGGCAGTATTAGCAGAGGCAGAAACTAAGTCTCAGTGGGAAAAGTAACTCATCCACGATCATCTTGCCAACAGTGGCAGAGACGACTCTGAACACAAGTATAATTTGCAGTCCATGTTCTTTTAATTTATTTTTTATCCAGTAGTACTCTATTCCATGTACAAAAGTTTTACTAATCTCCGTATGTTTATGAAACTGATCCTTGCCCTGAAGGTGTTTGTATTCACAAAATATCAGAAGTTTCTTCTTTGGATTTCTAGGTTAAACTCCCCATTCCATTTAAATGGAAGATATAATCATTTTCAACCATTCTTTACATCATCCTTTTAATATATTTTTATTTTATGTTTATTTTATATTTGTATTTATTTTATATTTATATTATATTTTACTACCTATTTATCAAACTTTTAACAATATATGACATCCTTGTGAGGGCTGGTCAAAGGACAAAGCCATAGACATGTGGACCATCTAGAGTTCAATCCTGCCGCCTATGAATAAACTTCTCAGAGTCTGTCACATAGTTCTTGGGTTAAATATCATTAAAGCACTGGAAAGGGTTATATTTTCTTTAATTTGTTTTACAGTTGAGTATGACCAAGTTATGGGGAATTTTGGGATTGGTGCATACATGTAAGTGTGATGAAGGCTGCTCATTTTCTGCACTGGCAACCCCAACAGAAACATATTTGTCGGTGGGACTTTGGTCTTCGGGAGTGTCATGATTCAGTGACAAAGATCAAAGGAAGGAATTTGGGAAGTAAGTACCCCAAAGAGAATAGGAATTCAAGGAGCTAGGAAACGAATGCTAAGCTCTGAGTTACATAATTTTTAAATGAATTGGAGTACTCTTTACAGCTAATGTAAACCATTGCAAGTACATGGAATTGTGTCATGTGAGGTTAAGAACTTGTTGGTATCATGATCGTAATGATAATAATAATAAAGATTACAATAATGTGCACTTTACACATTTGTAGATCATGTTTACTTTTCACTTCACATCACATTTGAAGGAGAATTCTAAGATGCCCCCCACCCCCAATTCCCTGCCACCACCCTCACTCTCCTCTGATCTCTTCCCCTTGGGTAAGGGTGGATTCCCTGAGCATGGTGAGATATGAAGATGTGATCACATTACATCATAGGGGTAAAGAGAGATGATCTGCGTGGCCTGCCCTCATCAGGTGAGCCCTTTAAAGCCGACCTTTCTCCATCTGGTGTTAAGGGATTGGAAAGCAGTGAGGCATGCTCTTCCTGGCCTGGAAGCAACAACTGCGTATTATGGGGAGGGCCACACAGCCGGGAACGGCGGGCAGCCTCTAATTGCTGAGAATGACCCCTCACTGACATCTCGTGAGAAACGGAGACCTTAGTCCCACAACCATAAAGAAATTTGCTCAACAGCCACATGAGATAGGAAGAGAATCCTGGGCTCCAGAATGGACCACAAGCTGACACCTTGATTTCAACTTTCTGAGGCCCTGAGGAGAGACTTCAGCTAAGGTAGATCTGGACTTCTGACCTATAGAAACTATGAGATAATAAACGGGTATTGTTTTAAGCTGATGTGTTTGCGGTAATTGGCTATGCAGCAATAAAAAAACTAATACAACATTTAGTAAGTCATCTGGTTCTCATTATAGCCTGTGAGATGAGATAATACAGGAATTCTGACAAAACAGATTACTATTACGTTATTATAGATAACACATATGTTCTTAATATGAACACAGTGCTGTTCTACGACCTTTATAATCATAATCTCATTGACTCCTTACAACAATGCTAAGCGGTAAGTATTTTTATTAGTCCCTTTTACAGATGAGAAAACTGAGGCAGAAAAGACGTCAAGTGATCTGCCCAGGGTCACACATGATGAACTAAACCCCTCAGCTAGTTAGTGAAAAGAGCAAGACATGGATTCAAGTCTCTTAAATTCCAATTCTGTGCTTTGGGTTTTGGTGCCTCAACAGAGACCAGTCATATCTCAGATCTGGAAGCAAGTTCTAGGTGACTCAAAAAGAAAACATTAATTGTTCTAGACTATTGTGAATGATCTAACTTATTAAGATGGCATTATTAGAAGTCATTTTTGTCAAAAAATAAAAATATTAAAATACTTCCATTGTGGGCTTCCCTGGTGGCGCAGTGGTTGAGAGTCCACCTGCCGATGCAGGGGACACGGGTTCATGCCCTGGTCCGGGAAGATCCCACATGCCGCGGAGCGGCTGGGCGCGTGAGCCATGGCCGCTGAGCCTGCGCGTCCGGAACCTGTGCTCCGCAACGGGAGAGGCCACAACAGTGAGAGGCCCGCGTACCGCAAAACAAAACAAAACAAAACAAAAACAACAACAACAAACTTCCATTGTTAATACTGAGAATATGAAAGGATGAAGCTAGTTGATAAGCCACTCACAAAGGATGAACACAATCCCAAGGTGATTTCCACTGCAGAGTAAAAGTGCTATCATGGCAAAAAGTACCAATGCATCCCTGAAGTATGGCCACCAAAGGGGGCTGGGAGCTCAGGGGAATGTTGTGAAGTTGTTGGGGTAGCAGGTGACCTTTTCATTCTTTCTCTTTAACTTTCTAGACTCATGTATTTGTGCATTAGCCGAGCAATTTAACAGCTTAGACCAGCACCTGTTGAAATAAAGCAGTCGATAAGTAGATCATTATCAAATTGAAGGAATAAATGCCTTTGTGTATTTACTAACTGATCACCAGGTTCTACCACAGATTTTACAGAAAACCCACTGCCACCATCCACATACCTGGGGTGCTTTCCTGAACGGAGGAATGGAAGAAGTGATCGATTGGTCTTTGGTTGACTGATACAGTAAACATTTTTAAAGCTATGTGGTTGACTAAAGAATAAAATAGAGGTGCAGACTTCTGAACAGAAAAGATATTTTCTTGGATGAGTCATTACAAAATATTAGTTTAGAAAGCTTTTTAAAAAATAATCTGTTACTCAATTGAGTTAATTGGATGAAAAGAAGATGTGTTTATTTTTACGTTTAAAAAGAAGTAATGGTAAGACTTTTAAACACAAAGAATGTTAACAGCAAAAGAATAAAATCTATCTTTTAAATTTATGGATACAAATATATTTTTGAAGTACTTGAGTACTTTCAGGTTTATTTTCAGGGAGAAAACCTAGATATGTATTATATTCTAAGATTTCTAGGACTATGGTATCATATAAGGACTGTAGGTTTGAGTGAGTGATGAGTATTATTTTTATTTATTTTTTAACTCTTTTAAAAATTTTATTGAAGTATAGTCGATTTACAATGTATTATTTTTATTTATTTATTTATTTTAAAAAACCTTTTATTCTATATTGGAGTATAGTTGATTAACAATGTTGTGTTAGTTTCAGGGATAGGGCAAAGTGATTCAGTTATACATATGCATGTAGCTATTCTTTTTCAAGTTCTTTTCCCATTTGGGTTACTACATAATTATTTTTAGATAGCTGATTTTTTTTTAAAAACCTACTTTTGTCATACACATAATAATAGACATAGTTCTGTTGTACTGTGATTTACAAAACATATTTTCATGTTTATTAGCTTGTGTTGTTCCCATGCCAACTCTCTCAGGTGTACTATCACTGACATTTTACTAATGACTCAGGAGATTTAAGGAAATTGTTTAAAGTCATGAAGATAGTAAGCAAGAGAGAAACAGGACACCTTTTGCAGGCAATTCCATTTTCTTTCCATTATCTTAAAGATTTACTGCACTTTCAAATATATTTTAGGGGCAATACCAATAGGTCAGTGCAGAGAAGTGTATTTCCGATTTTAGCCCTTAGATTCAATTCAGCATTGGCAGCGCCCAGGTAAAAGAATATTAAATCTGGGTCACAGAATTGAATGTGGGGGAATGAACTGTCCTTGATTCTGGAAATATGAGGATTAAGCATCTGTCCAGGGAGAACTGAGAAATCACTCTGTGTTCTCTCCACTGATAAAGATGTGGTGGCAATGTAAATGTTCCCTTAACGGAAGGGCAGAAATGGGGAGTACACGTTCTTTCAGAGTGAGGGAAACACAGAATAAAATTAGATTGTGATGAGGGAAAAAAGAGCCTCCCAGATCTGGTGTTCCTCATAAAAGACCCACGGGGGTGAAGAGGAGATTCACCAACTATACTGGGTCCAGCTGCTCTTTCCCCTGTAGTTGTCTCACTTCCCATAAAGTTTTACACCTTCAGTGAATTAACTCAGCGACTCATTCAAATGTTGCAGTAAGAATGTGGTCTCCTCCAGACCCTAACCCTAACCTTCCTAAAAGGCAGCAGTATGGTTTTCATTCTGAGATATCTAGAAAGTATAATGTTTTTCAACTTTATGTTGAAAAATACATGAAAATTCATTAATATAGAAATTGTTATATTTAACTTTTCTTGTTAATTCCATTTACTATCAACGTGCACAACTGTCTATAAGCACACATACACACAGTTTGAATCAGGAAAAATATTTCCAAAACTATAATGAATTGAGTCATACGAATTTAG